AGAATTGGAACGCAACGCACAAATGTGCAAAACCCTTATGCAACACATCGGCTGTCTGTTGAAATCCCACGTTGGTCTCGTGCAGACCTACCGAGGTAGTGTGCGAAGTTAGCAGTTCGGCGTTGTTAACTTAAAAGTTTTCAAGAGTTCGGCGACATATTCGTCGAAATTGGTAACCACGAACCTCAGATTTCCTCAGGCGAGGTGTTCCTGAAATTCGGCGATGCTCATCGAAACATGGAGAAACACGGAATCCAACTGGTTAAGGTTCTACAGCCTATGCTTGGCGACCTGCACACGTTTCTGTACAAAGCAGTTCCAGATACGCGGTTGACTGTAAAGAAATACTTGGATGCAAAATTCGAGTATCTTTCGTACTGTTTGAAAATCAAGGAAATGGATGACGAAGAAGCGCAGTGCAGCGCCATGCAAGAGGCCTTATACCGAGTTGAAACAGGAAATTATGAGTACAGGTAAACGAAGATTTTTCTTACCTTAATTTTTATATCGATATGGACATAAACTTGCATTAAATTCATTTTGCGGATGTACTAAATGATTTGCTCGAAGTGGAGATGAGCTGCGCATTATTGACTTCATGAATATTACGAATACCACCAATCATGACAGAGGAAATAAATATGCCCTATGATTACTAGAAAGCCTTAAACTAACTGACTCTAGACGTACAAAGAACGTAGATATAACAGCCGTTGTAAATAGTCTTTTCTGAGCATGAAACTGATGGTCCATGAATTTGGTTCCCCATATACCCTGTTATCAGATTTTCCACAGGATTTAAATTGAGGGTGGAGTACTTGGTAACGAATTTTCCTCTTTGCCCAGTGTTCTCGATTTTCCGAGCTGCGTTGAGCTTAAAAAGCTTAAAATCGTCAGTAATCTAAGGCAGTGGCAACAGAAGTCAGCTTAATGAAAGCATAAATTTTGGTCGCTAAAATATCCGTGGCCCTCCATTGTATTTCCACGCGACTGGCCTGGTTTGTCATTTTGACAGTACCTATCTTTCATTAAATATATGGTGCTGCTTTGGTCTTCGCTTCCATGTGGTTAGCCGTGGGTGCCTTATCTGTGAAGGTCATACTGTGACTAGCGAACTACAGCCATCCATGTTCAACACAATCTCCTGCCTTCTTTCCACACAGTGGCTACCCATGTCTCTACCTCGGAAGGGCGGAAGTGAGTGATAAATGATCGTTCGAATCTGAATCCTTTACGCTACCCACCGAAATATCCTTGAAACTGCAGTCTAGAAGAAAAATAGATCTACTTTGCTCTGTTTTGGAGTGTTTCGTCTAAACTCGACACAAGCGACCTGATGCAGGCAGTGATGATACCGGTACTTGCTAACGACCCCTGGTCAGTCCTTGAAAAAAAGTTCTAGAGCTTCGAATCGAAACTTCAATAGAACTCTGGTACTCGAGAGGCTGACTTGCGCTGGGCATAAATACTAGGTATATGCTGTATTTCAACAAGATTGCTAACTCATAAGTGATATACTCCGTCCGTAAACAGTTGTAGAATAAAACAGGTGCTTTTGATATCCTGTTAACCGTTGTGTACGTATGTCAGAACCGTATATGCTTCTGTCATCATTCTTCAGCTTGGTAGCTCGTTTATCCCAGGATCATTGTGCTTTTTCTTTTCTTTGTTCTTTTCTCTTCAAGCAGTGCTGGAATAGACTATGAATAGTCAGTCTTTTGTTGTAGAGACAGTTTCAGTTGCAATGAAGGTATTCATAACCGAATCGCGTAGCGCTTATCGATTCCATCTAACTTCTTTTTCCTTAAGCGATTGCAACTCCTGAAATGTTCTTAAATTTTAGGTTGATACTTCGATGTCGTCAAGAAGCAAGAAAGAGGTTTTCTAAGCTTAGATCTGACGTTTTGGTGAAACTGGAGCTGCTTGATCAAAAACGAGGTAAGCAAGTCTTTGTTCAATATGGTTTGCGTAGTTCAGTATACTTGCGAGCTTTCGCTTTATTATGTGATGTAAGGGTTGATTTTGTTTTTGTTTTTGCATTATCTCAGAAGTCATATCTGTAGTCATATAAAGTTTTTCACGGTCGTCTTCAAGCGGTTTACTCCGCACAACAATTTCACGCGTTTATTGATTGTTCAGCATTTTGAATCACATTTTATCTATATCAAAAACAATTCTTCAGCGTTATGCTCTTACATTTTTTTTCAAAAATTAACAAGAATGAAATGCGTAATAGCTATGATCTTTCAATATAGGTGTAATGCAGAATAACATGAAGAGTATGCTGAGGTTTTTGTCAGGCTAATGTAATGTTACCAAGTAAATGTAATGTTTTGCATGGGTTTGGGCAAAAATTTACATTAGTCTACTGTTTGTGACAGTAGAAAGAACCATTGAGACTGCTCACAATTATCAATGTTGATTCCCTAATTGAAGTTAACAGAGATCTTATTTTGGGCTGTCTTTTCATAAAAGAGTTATGCTTGTCCTTAAGGTCAAGGTTAATACAGGTATATACAGAGGCACATCTTGGATCACTTGAACCGTCCTGCAATCGGCGACGAACCGCTCTGGTCGCGACACGTCCACCATTTTTCGCGGCTTCGAGTCTTCTCCTTCCAAACGTGGTCTTTAGGTCTCCTGGTGTAATCTTCCCACCGCTCTCACGGTTCATTAAGCGGCCAAGTCCGCCCGCAAGGTGCTTCTAGGCGATCCTCTTCCTTCGATGAACTGAGCTCAGTGCCAAACCCACTGTAGCTTCCCCCTTTTGCTTTCGTGACTACGTCCTTCATTCACGTGCGATGTCTGATCACTATATTAGGAATGTCTTCGTGACACGAGATTCGCAACGTTCTCCTTTCCATGGCTTCTTTTTATACGTATCCATTATTTGGGTTTGGATAAATGACTTTTGCAATGGCAGTACTAAAACGCGAGAGATTGTCAAAGATCATCAAGATAGTCTCTCAGTAGCTAGTTCATGTGCGGCAATTTATCGTACAGATTTACTCGGAAAAGGGTCTATATTTTCAGCAGCTCAGAAATTTGTCCCCTTATGCAGGTAGTGGAGCCTCACTGTTGGAATCGAGTTTTATTCAACACACTGATACGCAGCGGTTCCTTCGCTTAACAGCATTTACGTTGCATGGCCACGCGCAACCAGTTACGTCTGGCAACCAGTTATCAGCATGACAGTTACTACTGTTTATTTTTGAACGCTTGTAGTTGCTGTTCGTGCTACACCCATAAGCTAAACAGTAATATATACTTCAGTATTTTAAGCTGTGATATTTAAGATACATTGGCAATAGGTTATATGCTACTGTATTTAGTGCGTGACATCGCCTACCAACTACAGCTTTTCGTGAATGCCATAGCAAAGTTTCATGTCGCCTGCAAGAACGTGCTACAGCCGACTCGAAACCTGTTCCCGATCGAGGTTGATATTTCGCAGGTCGGGTACAAGTACAATACCACTGGGCAACTGATGGCGGACGGCGAGGAGGATGGAGACCAAGATGAGGGCGACGAAGCAACCAATGAACTGTTGAACCTGAATGACGACGTCTTGCCGTTGTCGCTTAATGCTGTCACCGTCGCCGACGATGGCGATGACAAACTGCTCGATTTGTAAACTGTTTCGTCTTATATCTGTGTTATTGTTGATTCACTTATGACATTCCGCCAACTTTCATGTTACGTTTGATTATAGTCATTTTAATGTTTGTTTTTGTGATGGGTTTTTGAAAATCTAGCATGTTTGTTTCGTTTCTAATAAAATGTCTGCGAGGAGCTGGATTGTCAGGGGAAGAAATTGGCTGAACAAACGAGTCACTGATGCGTTAGTCGTTCGGTCCTGCCACAGCATAATTTGTGTCGAAGCATGCACATGCTGGATTGGATATATCTGGTCGTACGGTACTCCAAAGGTACTTAAAATATTTAACCGGAAGTTTCTGTTGCAGACGAAACATGCTATAGGCGATCTGAAAACTGAAATTCTCCATCAGACTTACTCTGAAGCATGAATCCGGCAAAGTATGAATCGAAATAGGGTCAGTCAATCATGTGATAGCATTTTTTTAATACAAGTCTTGATATTTTTCAGTTGACTACCAATACACGAACATATTTTGACTTATTCATCCATCTTGATCCAGGTAAGGTTCATTAGCTCATTGTCATCGATTTGGAAGCTTCCTATGGACCGTTTCTCTCTTGGAACTCAATATAATGTCAGTGTAGTCGAACAAATATCAGATCTTGTAATGTCCTTACTGCTGCTTTAGCTTGTTCATTCCGGCAGTGACTTCAAGACTTGGTTATGCTTTTGCCTGTTCATTAGTTTTCTTAACTTTATAAATTATTTTCAATATATGTCTTTCCATGCTGAGTTGAGTAGTCTCCAGTTCATGAATAGCTCTCAGGCTTAGGTTCCGAATTTCACATCCATAAGTTAGCACATACTGTTCTTAATTTTTCTGTTTTCAAACACAAAGGCAGTTTCTCATATAAGAACATTTTCAGTCTTCCAAAAGTGATCCAAGTTCTTTGGCCTTTCTGTCGACTTAACAATTTTTTTCCTTTGCAGAAATGGGCCATGCGCAGAGACATAGATTTGCACCTTCAGCCTTAAGCCCTTCGACTTCAAAAGATCGCGGGATAACGTATTTGCTAAACGTCACCGGAATCTTTATTCTTCTTTTCAGTCCTGCTTTAATGCCGATGTCGTTCAGCTCTTAGATTCTTCTTCGGAGTTCTGCTAGTCACCATGAAACGATAAGAATGTAATCTGCAGACAG